TAAAGAAAGAGATGAAGAAAGCTTCTCTATTGAAGAACTCGGACTTGAACAATCTTCTACAAAAATCGCATAATAACGGCTAAAGGAAAAAGGGTTTCTGTAAAGTATCAAGGGTTCTGTCTAAAAACGACCTAAATGACAAGTATTTATAGTCTTCAATACTCCATGGTCTCTAGGGTTCCAGAATTGAGGCTGAGAATAACTTTGGGCTTCAGAAATATGGGCTTTAGTTCGGAGTTTGACGGCCACGGTTGAGAGTGACGTGACCGCGGGGAATAGGTGGTTGGCCGCGGTCGAGAGGCTTGTGACCGCGGGAAATGGGCTGTTGGCCGCGGTCGCGTGACTTGCTGGCCATCTTCGAGTGGCTCCGGGGCAAATGGAATATCTTGAGATCCAACCGTTGGAATGTCTCCAAACCAAGTGCATTTGAAAGCTGGTTGATTATTCTATAAGTTGTCCAATTTTGAGGGTGATCAGACGGTGAGAAAGTCTTCGTCTCTCCATGAGAGTTCTGACGGTCTGCATTTATCCAAAAGAGTCTTTTTGTTCCAATTTGTGCCTCTTTATCCCAAATTACCTGAAAAGTCTTTTAAAATCCGAAAACATAGAAATCCTTTGAAAACATTTGGAAATGGAGTAAAAACACCTGTAAAAGATATTAAAGTGATCAATAAAAATGGTCAAAATCCGGTGTTATCACCGGGGGCTTAATATGCGGCCTGTTCCTGCTTCTCCTTGGTTCCTGCTGGGCCGAGCAATCAGGGACCATCCTTCTTTTTGGGGTTTTCTGTTTTTTTGATTTTTTTGGCTTTTTTGTTTTATAAGAAACACCTGAAACTAAGAAAAAGAAAAAGATCAATAGAAAAAGAAAGAAAAATACTAAAGAAAACAATACCTAAATGGGTTGCCTCCCATTAAGCGCTTTTATTTTAAGTCGTTTAGCTCGACTTTTGGAGTTGGACGTTGCTTAGTCCAATGAAGAGGATCTTGTCCTGAGATAAGTCTTTTTCGACATCGCCTTGCTTTGCCTAGCAGGTTCTTCGTCACTCCAAAGCTCTTCTTCAAACTCTTCTGTTGCAGAACGTTTTCCTGTTTTGTTGTTGTATAGGACAGCTTCTGTAAAGACATCTTTGTCGATATTAGCAAATGAAATCCTCCGGTTTGGCCAGTCCATTATAGCTCCGGAAGTTGCTAGAAAAGACCATCCGAGAATCACTGGATGTGTTGCGTCTTTCGTTTCAACAATGTAGAAGTCGACAGGCACGATGCAATCTCCTATTCTCAAAGGAATGTCATGAGCTATTCCTTGAGGTGTTGCATTAGAATCATCAGTTAGACTAATCTTAGCTCTAGTCCTGCGCAGGTGTTTGATACCAAGTCAAAAAGCAATTGCCTTGGACATCATGTTAAGACAAGCTCCAGAATCACAAAGCACGTCTTTAAACATTTCTCGTCTAATAGAACAAGAAATGAGAAACTGACCTGTAGTCTTGATCTTGTGGAGAATTCGAACTTGCCTCTATCTGTAAGTGTTGGCTGGTGTTTCAAACGCAGAATAAGGCTCACAAAAGAAGGCTGCAGCGTCGTATTCAATGATTGAATCGATGTATGGCATCTTTATCTTGCTGCATATTGGGTCTTTTTGGATTGAAGAATCAGATGAATCTTCAACACATTCCTTTGCCATCATACAAGGTAATGATTCCTGCCAATCCGTTTCTTCATCTGAAACTTGGTTTTCTTTTTCCTGAGTTGCTTTTTTAGGTGCTGGAGGTTGAAGTTGGGACAGAAGATGTATTATCTTTTTTCAAATCCCAGAGGAGAATCTGAACGACCAATTCCCGCGGTCAGAGGCCTCGTGACCGCGGGAAAAGGGACCTTGGCCGCGGTCAGGACGGTTGCACCCGCGGCTCCGAATGTGTCCTGCTCATAGTGTGCTTCCTCTTTCTCATACTTGGCACAGTCCTCTTCAGCCTCTTTCCTGGGTAAACTAGCATCATTTAAACTCATACCGGGGTACAGAAAGTAGTACAGAAACCAAAATTGAAAAAGAAAGAACAAGGGTTTAGGAGATAGATCTTACTCTCCCTAAAACCTAAAAACAAAGCTTAAAGTAAAATTTCTGTAAAGTATTTCGTCTCTCTTCTTCTCTTCTTAAAAACGACCTAAATGATATGTATTTATAGTCTCCAATACTCTCTGGTGTCTAGGGTTCCGAAATTGAGGCTGTGAAAATGATACGGGCTTCAGAAATGGGCCTTCGAACTTGGAGTTAGCTGGCCGCGGTCGTGATGTACGTGACTGCGGTGAATGGGTGGCTGGCTGCGGTGGGGATGGTTGTGACAGCGGGGAATGGCCTGTTGGCTGCTGGTGGAAACGCTTGTCGGCTGGTTTACGGGACATCTTGTTCTTCGCGTATCTTTTCATTGAACCGTTAGATTGCCAATCTGTAAAGTGTGCTGGAAAGCTGATACTTCCATCTTTGAGATCTCCAAATTTGAGCTGGATCAGACGGTGAGAAGGCATTCAATCGGGGTGAACTTCTGACGGTTTTACTCTGAGCTGAAATCTGGTCTTCTATCCATTTTGTTAAGCTTTTCCCTAAGTTTCCTGAAAAGAGTCTTGGAACTACAAATACTAGAAAAACGTAATAAAAGTACTTAAAAGCAATTAAAAACATAGAAAAAGTATTTCAAATCGATCCATAAAAGTGGTGAAAATACGGTGTTATCAATACCACAGTCGCTGAGGTCTGATCCCAAGTAGTACAAGGGATTTGATGTTGAACAGGACGGTGTGGACTGTCGTGGTGGGATGCTTTCCGAGGGTTCAGGTAGGAATGCCGTGGCCGGATCGATCCAGTCCTCCTTGCCTGGTGGAAACTCAGGGTTCCTCGCATTCGAGGTTTCTCCAACCTCCTCTTGTGTAACCGGTGCTGTCGAGGTCGCAGAGTTCTTATCAGGTGATGAAGGTGCGGTGAGCTGCTTGACCTTCTTCTTTAGCTTCCTTACACAATCCACCAACGCGTGAATGGTCTTGTCTTGCCACTTACACCACTTTTGGAGAGTGTTAACTCTCGAGTACAGCTTCTTTGTGTGGTATTCGGGTTCTCCCCACACGTAGGTATCAAAATGGTATCGGCCAGCTCCTATTCTTCGTTCAGAGAACCTTGGTTCCTCGTTCTCATACCTGGCGGTTCCTTGCTCGTTCGGAGGCTTGCTGGACGCAGCCTGTTCTTATTTAGTGCACTAGCGCAATGGTGGATCAAATAGAGGGTTCTACAACTGATCTTTGAGCACGTAGAAGGAGATATTGCGTTGCTCATGTAACATGGTGAGGGATCTGTTAGGCAGAAGAACCTGTGTGCCATCCCTGTGCATCAACGTAAAGTTATAAACCCACTTGTTTCCTGCCTTGCCTCCGAAGAAACCACTCTTGCTTAGGTATTGTTCATCAATGAGGCTCGGCTTCGACGTGGAATCAGGGAATACAAACCCTTTGGCTCTCAAAATCTTAGTCACCACCCAACCGTTCTGGAGCCTCCTAGTACCCTTCTTCTTCCGATCACACCACACGTTGTGACGGTAAGTGAGCATCTGAATCGCAAAAAATGCACCTAGAGAGGGTACATGTATCGGTCCTACTATTCATGGAGATCATTTCCAGAATTTAAATCTTTAGGCACTGCGAGTTAACTAAGTCGCAAAACTATCTCGCAGACTTCAGGTCTCCTCGTACCTTTTCGCATTCAGGGGAGAGTAACTTCCAGGATATAGATCCAAATGGCTTGATTCCAACTTCACTGGAAAGAGAACTCAAATATCTCAAACTTTGGTGAAGAATGTTTCAGAGCTTGGGAAGTGGAAGGTTACCCGGACGGCTCATCTCTGCAGTGCATTGAAACAATCGGAAAGAAGCTCTTAGACCTGTGTTCAGTCCGGAGAATGTATATTTCAGAACATAGCTCTAAACTGGATTATCTCAGATGTTCTGAAAAGAGCACTCAAAGACATTGAATCTTGATGAAGGTACTGGCAACTGAATCCGACTGGAAAGGCATCTTCCGACAAAATCTTTGTGACTCATCGGATCGGTCTTGAAACTGTAGCGAGACAGGTCTGCCTTCCGGTGAGCTTAACTCTCTGCGCACGACTCCAAATCCAATGATTTCACCTTTTATGGATCCGTGACCTAATCATCTACAATTTTGATTCAGACTCTGTAAGCTGAATCGGACGTTAAAACTCCACGGACAGGCAATCTTTCAAACATATCGGATTGCTCCGGAATGGATGCGAGACAGGTCTGTCTTCCGGTGGCCGTATCGTTCAGCTCGATGCTCAAAATTCATTGATTCTAATTGTTCTGAAATATAGACTCAATTATCTTGATCATTGCTGAAGACCTCGTTGGCTGAATCGGCTGGCAAGACCTTCTGGTAATGCGATTTCAAATATGTATCTGCACCCGAGATTTTTGGCCGAGAACCTTGAACAGCCGGTATGTGTTTTGGCTGAGGGATCTACCTGCAGTACATGAAAATCGCCGAGAAAAAGCTTTCTGCGGTACAGGCTATCGCCGTGAACCTCCAAAAGGCTGTTTTCACCACTTTTAAAGCTCCATTCACCATTTCTTCTCTTGGCTTCATCTTTTCAGATCCAAACTGCTTCCAAATCACCTGTAAACACTCCAAAACATGGAAGACTCACTTGGACCTAATCCAAACCCTTAAGTTCTAAAAAAACACCTAAAGACCTAAAATGCATGAATTAAGATATGATTTGGAATGAAATAAACAACCTAAATGATGCAAATTATGGACATATCAATTTCCTGGTAGATTCAAGAAGCAACTCCAAGAGAAATCTAGATCACTCTTTGATAAAAAAATGGAGAAGGTGGACATCACAATGCCATTGATTAACACCTTTCTTTTGGTGCCACATTATTCAAAATTCTTGAAAGATGCAATACTTTAGAAGACAAAAAAGCTTCAAGGAATGGCGGTGCTTAGTCATGAGTGTAGTGCAATTATTCAGAGGAGGACAATCCCTAGAAGCTATCTGATCCAGGGAGTTTCACATTATCCTGCACTCTACGTCCTCTTATGTTTGCAAGTTTCTTGTGTGATCTTGGAGCATTAGTTAACTTAATGCCATTCTCAGTTGCGAAGAAACTGGGGTTCACAATCTACTAGCTTTCAAAGATCTCTCTGATTCTTGCTGATAGATCAGTTAGACTCCCAATTGGACTTCTTGAGGATCTTCAAGTGAAGATAGGAGACTCTGAAGTTCCAACAGATTTCATTGTGCTAGAGATGGATAAGGAGTCAAAGGATCCTCTTATCTTGGGAAGACCCTTCTTAGCAACAGGTGGTGCTATTATTGATGTAAGAGGAGGGAAGATAGATCTCCAACTAGGATCTGAGGTGTTCAAGTTTTATATCAATGAAGTCATGAAGAATCTCAAAATAGAAGGTCAGGTCTTCTACATAGATACAATGGAGGAGCTTGTAGAGGAACTTCTTGAAGAGTTAAACACAGAAGATCATCTCTAAATTGCTTTAACAAATGAACAAGGGGAGTATGGCTATCTTGAAGATGAAAGTCTTGGGTTTATGAAGCTGATAGGTTATCACAAACCATTGGAAAGCAATGATTCATTCATGGAGTTGAGTTACAAGGGTTTATAGAAGATGGTCTTGGAGGTTCAAAAATGGCTAAGTGTCAAGAGATTGTTCACTCCGAGGTGCATTCAGTCGATGTGGAACTTGGAGTGAATAAAATCAAAGACAGAAGGCCACCCAAGATGTACGTCAACCAAACACCGCACAGAGTACAAGGTTTCAAAAGAGAGAAGTTGCTATGGGTTTAACTCCGAGGTTTACACCGGCAGAATGAAGCTCGATGCAAGGTGCACCGAAAGAACTCCGAGATGTAACTCGAGTGAATCAAGCTCAGTGTCTGGGTTTGAAGTTCAGAAGATTTACGATGGCTTTGGCACCGGGTTGCGTTCTCAAGATGTGGAAGTTGGTGTAAACTTTGCAGAACTAAAGAAGTATACACCGAGATGCACATCGACAGAATCAAGCCAGGAGTGTGGTGGCTTTTGTGAGACAATGGAAGAAACAGTCTACACCGAGGTGCATTCAATTGATGTGGAACTCGGTGTAGACTCAGCGACCAAGGAAAAAAGGAGTTGCAAAGTGAAATGCACAAGGAACAAGGGCAAAGAAGCAACACCAACAGAGCACAAACTGATCAGACAAACTTCAATGAAGATTGGAATGGACTTAAGGCTCCTAAAGTGGAACTCAAGCCAATCCCTAGTGGTCTCAGGTATGCATTTATTGGTCCTAATCCCTCTTACCCAGTCATCATAAATGATAGCTTATTAGACCATGAAGAGCATGCATTGTTGAACGAGCTAAGAAGGTTTAGGAGAGCTATAGGCTATTCATTAGAAGACATCAAGGGGATTTTACCTAGTCTATGCACACATAGGATACATTTGGAGGAGGAATCTATGACTTCTATTGAACATCAGAGAAGGTTTAACCCTAATCTAAAGGATGTTGTAAAGAAAGAGATCCTCAAACTTCTAGAAGCTGTAATTATCCAATTTCTGATTCTAGATGGGTTTCTCCAGTTCACATTTTTCGTAAGAAAGGTAGCATTACTGTTCTTAGAAATGAAAAGGATGAGTCGATCCCAAAAAGAACAGTAACAGGCTACAGAATGTGCATAGACTACAGGAAATTGAATGCAGCCTCTAGGAAAGATCATTTCCCCTTTCTCTTCATTGACCAAATGTTAGAGAGACCTACTAATCATCCATATTACTGCTTTTTAAAGGGATACTCTGGCTTCTTTCAAATTTATATTCACCCCAATGACCAAGAGAAAACAACTTTCACATGCCCTTATAGCACCTATGCATATAGAAGAATGCCTTTTGGTTCGTGTAATGCTCCTGCTACCTTCCGAAGGTTGCAGATGTCAATATTTTCTGATCTAATTGAGGAGAAAGTAGAAGTGTTCATGGAGGACTTTTTTATAGTAAGAAGTTTTAGGTTCAAACCCAATTACTCGAACTACTCATATCATTGTAGTATTAGAGGTATCAATCCAAATGGAGGTTTTTAGACACTAGAACTATATGGATCTTACTTAATCCAAGTATAATATGTGAATGAGTTGGTAACAAGGTGACCTAAAACATAAAACAAACAAGCTACAAGAAATAATTAAGAAATAAGCAAACAAGAGAAGCTAAACAAAGATTCAAATTCAAAATAGATAAAGCTAAACCTCTAGATGTGATCATTGATCATGGTGCTTTCAATGCTAATTCATGATGCTAAGCAAACAATGCAACATTTGCAATTCTTTAGTCTAGACTTCCAAATCAGATTAATTCACTCTCATGAAAAAAATCCCTTTGTTATTTACCTAATCAAGACTAATCCTCATTAGTGTAAAGACAAGTAACAAGCATGATAATCAATGTAAAAAATATGACAAAAATATTACCAAACTGCCTCATTATGAATCAGAACAAGAGCTAAGAAAGACTGAATCTTATACAAAAAGATAAAACAAGCATCACATGATCTCAAATTCCAATTAACTTAGAACTCTAAGCAAGATTATTTCTTTCTCAGGACAATGATCACAATATTAATCATCATTCAAACCCAATTTTCATCAGTGTACTGATGATCAATATGCATTAATAAACAGTTCTAATATGTCATTTATGCTCAAACAAACATTTTCATGGCATTAAAAACATAAACTCTTAAGTTACCTTATCCAGACATTTTATCAAACACCTTGTGGGTGGAGAAATGCCTTAGGTCTAGATTAGAGTGATTATCAAAGATCTAGCATTAAGAGCAGCTAACTAAGGAATGGAAATGAGAATCTGGAACCTACACATCTTAGATCAAACATGTAAGCATCCCAATCTACACACCTAGAAGCTTAAAAGAAGACTACTCACTAATCATGATGATGTTAATCACGATTAGAAGTAAAGATAAGAAGATAAGACGATAAGAAACAGCTTTAGATTGATTAAAACCCAAATATATCTCTGTACAAATTCGTTTTTCACTAAAGGGGAAAAGAAAATATAAGAGAATGAAAGATGATCAAAAGATAGTTGGGGTTTTCTCCCCAAAAATTATTTATACTAAGGGGTCTGGACCGGGTCAGCCCAGGACAAACTGGGTACTGACCCGGTTTGGTTGGATAAAGGATGTCTTGCTCCGCCTGGTCTTGCTTTCTCTTCACTCGGAGTAGTACCCGGAGCAAAGAAAATTTGGGTTTGTGTTGCACATTGCTCCGGGTCCTTTTCACTCGGAGCAGCCAACTCGGAGCAGCCAACTCGGAGCAGCCAACTCAGAGCACTCGCCAAATGATTTGGTCTCCAGCATTCCCTCTTGCTCCGGGTCACCTCAGCCGCATCATCACTCCCAGCATAGCTCCCAGAATCAATCAGATGTTGCTTCGGGTCCTCTTAAGTCAGAGCACAAGTCGGAGCATCTCAATTATGGTCAGACCTGTTCGTATTTGAGGCGCCATAACTCCCGAGATACTGATCCAAATGACTTGATTTAAACTCCAGAGAGAAACCAGGGAGAGAAAGGCTTCCGGTACAACAGTTCTTTGAAGCGCATCAGGCTGATTTGGATTCTTGCTGGTAGACATGTTCATTTCTCGCTTGGGATATCTCTCAGCTCACTACTTCAAATAAGTTTATTCCAAGCGTTGTTGAAATTAGACTCAATTCTCTCAAATACTGATGAAGACACTGGAAATTGAATCAGAAGGGAAGGGCTTCGTCCTGGGCGATCCTTGAAGCTTATCGTATCAGTCTAGAATGGCTGCGAGACAGGTACAACTTCCGTCGGCCATATCTTTTAGCTCACTGCTCCAAATCCGTGACTTGATCTCTTGAATTTATATGAAGACGTCGGAAGCTGAGTCGGCGTGTAAAGCATCCGGTACAAGTGATCGTTGTAGCATATCAGCAAGTTTGAATATTTGGCCGAGGGTTTTGTACACTAAATGTGACCCACGGTACATGTTTTTGGCTAAGAAACGTTACCTGCAGTACACCAGATGGCCGATACACATTTTTAACCCATTTCTTCATCTTTTTTCCACATTTTCTTCAATGGTCTCCACTCCTTTGCTTCTAAATGGCTCCAAATCACCTGATAAACACTCTAAATATGCAAGATTCACTTGGACTAATGCAAACTCCTAATAAAACCAAAAAATAAAGATAAAACACTAAGAAATTTATCTACAAGTGCATGTTTGGGACTCTAAACATGAACGAAAATGCATAATAAACATGGTAAAATATGCATATATCAACACCCCCACACTTATCCTTTGCTTGCCCTCAAGCAAACCAGAACAAATGAGAGAGAGAGAGAGGTTGAATGTTAGGGATTTCATATTCCAAAGAGAAAGATGATCACTAAAAGAATTCGAAATTCACTATCCTAGTTACTAATTCTGAAATGCAATGTAGACAAGATTACTCATAAAACATCAGTCTTCACAACCATTCCTAGTTCTAACCCTTTGACATTCATTAGAGTTTCATGTGGACCATGTTCATGCAAAAGAAGTTGATTCATTTGGCTAGGGACTGGGTCTTGAAATTAAAATGATCTCAATTAAGTAACTGGTACTCCAAGCAAGCGATCTCTCAAGGAAAAAACAGACTTTTGGAAAATGCTAAGGGTTAAAAGCAATGGATGCATACAAAGATAGAACTACATATGCCCAACACCCCAAATGCTTTCACTCCATAATCTAAACCCATAAAATCTCTCTCTCTAAGCTACCCTTTTCCCACAGGTGTTTTGCCTTGATGATCACCAGCTCTCATTCATTTTTTTCACTTCATCTCTAGGGGAATGCTCTTTTCCTTTTCAACACTTTGTAAGTTTCTTTTTCATCAAACACTTAGCTCTGTTCTTTTCTTTTAGTCTCTCTCTTTTGATCCTTTTTTTTCTTTCTTGAGACCACTTGGAGCTTTTCTTTTCATTTCTCACTCACCACTTTTTTTTATAGAGTTCATTCCCCTATTTCATTCCCATTTATTTCCTCATTTTCACATTTGCAAAGAATTTTCTTCAGCTCAAAGCTCAATCATTCCCCAAACCTCAACCAATCCTAAGCTAGTCCTGATGATGGACTAGAATCTACATGCAGCCCTATCTCTGTCACTCTAGACCCAACTCTTTTTACCAAGTCTACTTTGAAAGAGGCCTCACATGCACACACTAATGATTTGTCTCAAAGATGGTTAAGTTCAAGGTGTGGTAACAGTCTAAAAAGTGGAGAACAGCTATTTGAGCTAGCAAGAGTGGCAAAAAGGGATAGAAATCTCAAATATGTCTATGGTACCAATGAACCAACAAACAAATGCATGAACATGAAATTCAGGGTTATCACTTTAAGCAGGGCTGGAACTATTCAAAGCCTGATCCAACTAATACAAAGAAAGTGGAAAACAAGTTCCAAGCATGGT